TTTGATCTCTGCTTTTCTTTATTTCCAGGCTCGGGTTATGGCAACAATTGGAGTGACCAGAGGACTGGGAGACCATGACCTGAAAGTGCATGACTCCAATATATACATCAAACCTTTCCTGTCTTCATCTCCTGAGGTAAAACAGACAATGTTCAACTGTCTGGTTTGCGGGAGAGAAACAAATATATTTAGTGTGCTTATTTGTTCTTCCCAAGTTGCCTATTCTGATTGTGGTCCAATCCAGGTAATGCCCTTTGGGAAGGGCAGCATGTTAGTAATGTCCACATAGTAGGAAAGTTTTAAGTTCCCCAGCTGTGTGCCCTGGCTCTGGTTGCTCCACATCACTGAAGAGCATTGATGCCTTGCCCCTCCCTGGTCTACCGTTATCCCATAGCCTTTCCATTCAGTGTGACAGACACACATCTCTCCCCACCTTCATGTGCTTCAGCTCTCCTTGAGGCCCTAGATCATGCTGCCTTCACAGAAGCTAACGTAAATCTGTGTTGTCTAGAAGGGAGCACTGGACGTCTTCCAGAGTAGCGTAGTGTCCTGTGTTACACAGAGGATACCAGATGAACTCTTAAGCAAGAAAATGCCAAGAGCAATTGGGGGAGTGCTTTATGCTTCCATCTGGCTTCCCCTTCACCTCCAGTTCTTAATTCTTTATAATGGCTTTGTGCAAACACCAAATAATGGCAGGGGGTTTTCTCTGTGATTCTGTGAATGGCAGTGTGCATTCCCAAATGCTGGCGTAACAAGGGTCTGCAGTACTTGCATTAGGGGTAGTTTTAAATGCCTCCATCATTTTGACTTGCCTCACCACAAACAATTCCAGTTTTTGACCACCAGAGACCTTGCAGTGAAGGCTGTCAAGGCTTCCAAAGGGATTTGGGTGTATTTGTTAACAAAAAACATGCAAACCTCGCTTTTTTTTTTCCCTCTGTAACTGCATACTTGTTCCTACGTCAAGGAACAGATGACACATATTTTTCATAAAATATTAAGCAAGGGCAAACCATCTGATGACAGCACAAAAAGAGGCTTAATTTCTATGGCCCAAATGCTGAGAGCCATCCACTGTCGACTGGCTTGCTAGGGTTTTAACCATACCTAGTATTTAGCCTTGAATTTATTGCTTGCTATAGCAGTGTGAGGGAATGAAAATACACAAATGACATAATACTGCTAGGAAGGAACCAAATTATTAAATTAACCTGGCTTAGAACATCTTTGAGACTTTAAAAATAAAAATTTTAAAAGGGCTGAGAGATTCTGACCCTAAAGAAAAGAGGGAGATCTGCAGACAACCACTTCTTCATGTTTGCTTGCTGTCAATCCAGTACCTTCCATCTCACTCCTCTGAATGTGTGGTATCCCTCACTTGGGACCTGCTCTCATTCTCCTCAGCCAGGCAGGCAGCAGATCTGCCCTCATCACTGTGATGGATTTGTTTAGTGCCAGCAAAATGATGCAATTCTACCTATTTATTTTTCTTCCTGGCACGCTGAGACCCAGTGTTTCTGGGGTATGCAATGGCTGCAGCACAGTGTCTCAGCAGTATCATCTCTGCCAATTGCTGCTGCAGTATTTGTCTGTGCGTATAAACCAAAGCTTCTCAGGGGCTTTTCTGATTTGTGTGGAGTGTGTCTGTACGTGTTCAAATTCTGGAATATGACATCCAGTTCATATGCTGTCCACATTTCAGGATCGCTTAACTGCTTCACAAAAGGGAAACAAAATTTGCTTTGTTTCCACATTCCCTTCACAGCTAAATTCAGCAGAAATATATGAGGGCAGGTGAGGAAAGACAGAGCACCAGCCACCTCAATTTAGAGGTACTGGCAAAAAAAGACCTGAATTTTATTAGGAAGTAGCATATGCTCCAACTTGCTTTCCATTGCACCTCCTTCTCTTAATCATCTCTCTCTTCTCTTCCCAGAGAGAGCCCCAGTGCTTTATCTCCTTATGCTTTTCCCTGAGACTTGTTCTGTCCGTACCTGGGCAGTGCACCTTGCACCGAAACCAGCATTAAGAAACAATGTCTTTATGCTGCCATCTGGGAAGCTTGGCACTTGGAAGTAAAGACAGTGGCATTAACCAGCAGTCATGTTTGGCCCTTGTGCAGCGTTGGATTTCAAATTGTTTATATAGAGGTGGGGAAATACAATGTCTGGTTTCCAGACCTGGAAAAAGGGAGGCACAGGAAATTAAGGTGCACAGTGAGTCATGACAGAGGGAGGATCCAAGTCCCCTGGCTTCTGTTTCTGTGCCATAATTACAGTGTCCTTTCCCAAGTTGGAGGCAATGTGGTGGGTTTTCAGAACATTTTGCTTCCAGTGTGACAAAGCTCTGATAATGCCATGCCCACCAAAATTTAGCTGAAGGAAAGGTACGCATCCCTGAGACTACATCCAGAAATAGGCATATAAAAGTAATTTGAGGGTGGTGTGAAAGGATACTTTGGTAGAGTGCCAGGCTATGGGAGGAGAAGTCATGTAGCCAAGACTGACAAATGTAATCAGGGTTCAGTGGCTCAGCTGTTATAAGACCAGATTTGGAGGACTTTTGCAGGTTGGTGAGCTCTAGAGAATTGAGCCTTTTATAATGAACTGGAGTAGCACAAAGCAGGCAAGCCATGGCTGAGGTGCTCTGGCATGGAATTAAATATTTATTTTTCATAATGGAACAGTTCATTTGAAAGCTTAAGCAGGAAATTCTGCTTTTTAAAGCTTAGCAAGAGCCACCTTGTTGCAGCTGAAAAACAGAATTTCATCCTGAAATTTTTCTAACGGCACCTCAGCCATTTGGTGGGGAGAGGTGTGGCTCTGACAGCAGCATTTTACCCTTGCCAGCAATGAACTCAAAGCCAACCACCGCAGCAAATGATAAGAAGGTAATGAAGGAGAATTCTCCTCGTTCCATTATGTTAGTAAAATCTTTCTGACAGCTCCACAAATATGTCAAAAGGAGACCATTTTAGATTCACATCTGCCTTCTGAAGAAATCTTTAGGAATTACACCATTGGAAGGAACAAGCAAGACAAATACTTAGAGAAGTGCATTATGATCAAAGGGAGTCAAGGTGGTTTCAAGAAGCAAACATCACACTTCGGTGGCTTGAAGTCCTTCAGGGTTATGTCTACCACAGAATTAAAAAAATAATAATAAATGCAGTAGATGGTCTCACATGAGCACTTTGATTTCTCAGGAAACGTTTGAGAAACTGCTCTGCATCACAGGTTGTTAACATAAAAGATATGAAGCTACAGACTAAGTGGAAAGTTGGCACAGTCTACTGGAAATTGGCTAAAGGGCAGGAAACAAAGGGTGGCAGTAAAAAGCTAAAAGGAGATTAATTGGTGAGTGCTGCAGGGAGCAGTGTTGGGACCCGCTTTTTATTATTTACATATAAATTACTTGGAGGGTGGTATTGAAAGATCTCGCCGTTTGCCAGCAAAGCTGTGCTGGATAACTCTGTGCATAAAAAGGGACGATACAATTAAGAAAGGGCTTTATTTTATTGAAGTAGCCGAGTTGATCAATAGTGCAGGCGAGTGAATGCAGGCTGTTGTTTGGCTCAAATTCCCCCAGGGCCCGCTGCTGAGGAGCACCTCAGGTGGCTGCAGGCTCGTGTGTCACTCTGTTGTGAATGGTTTTTGAGCCACAGGGACTCACGTTGGCTGCCTGTTAAAAACAAACCTGGCAAACAAGCCGCAGCGCCTTTGCAGAGCTGCTGTGGTCCTTTTCGGCAGCCAAACGCAGACGCGGGTTTTGGCCGGTGGGTAGATCCATTTGAAATGTAAATATAAAACCAGCCCACCTGTTTGTTCGTTGCTTGCCCAGAGGATTTTTCTCAGTGCTTTTGACTGCATGTAGGTGAGAAATAAGATAAATAAATATCTGGATTGAAGAAAGGTGGTATGTGACAAACTGCATAATGCACGTCCAGAAAGATGTCATGTGTGACTATGGGCTGTAGTGGTGTGCGTCTGCTGTTACCTACCAGCAGAGATCTGTCAGTACCAGTCATAAAATGTAGTGCAACCCAATGCTTATTGTCATAGATGTCTGTGCTACTGAGGTTCTGGTGGTCCTTATAGTTGGCTTTTTACATTTTCTGATTACTAAAGTCAAGTTCAGCTAGTTGACAGGTCAGCTGCTCTACATCAAATAAGACATCGGTGGATGGCAGAAGTATGGTGACCAGACTGGGCTCCTTTGAGGGCTGCCCTGATGCTCCAGAGGGATGTTAAAGAACAAGAAAGTTTGCGAGGGCAGCACAGAAAGGGCTGATAGGCTGGGTGGAGTGGCTGACAAGGCTCTCAGGACAGCACGGGAGGCAGAGGACAGAGCACAGGTAGCCCAAGATGGCAGAGGTCACGAGTTCTGTGAGGCAGTCGGGATTGACTTCAGGCTGCAGAAGCAATGAGTCCTGATGGGAAGAGTGAAGATTTGGGGTGGAGTTGCTAGGAAATTTGTCAGGGGTACAGCACCAGTTAAGGAAACCTCTGCACTGCCAGCCAGTGTCTGGCCAACCAGCTATCTGCGCTAGCTGGGCTACGCATTTACTGTTTTGCAACGTGTGTAGCTTTGCACAAACTTATGTCATAGACAGAACATCACTTAAACCTCACTGTTGTTTATTTTCCTGAAATACAGCTACAGGAAGGAGACAGTCATTGGGAAGGTTGTCTCTGGAATTAAAAAAAAAGAAAAAAAAAAAAAAGTAATAGTTTCCATTGGAGTCAATGAGCTGCTTTTGGTCATGTAACATTTACAGTGTCGTGGGCTTGCTTGCTGTTGCAGACACTTAGGTAACTCCCTGGATATCTCTTCATCTTTCTGAAACTCTGGCATATCCCACTCCCTTGCCTTTTCTGTACCGCATGTGTGGAGTACGCTGTGGGGTGTTGCACAACGTGAGGGTGTGTGGAGTGGATGTTTAGGGAGCCCTGCTGGTCTGAGCATCCATTACATGTGCCTTGGTGGTGCTGCCCAACCTGTGTATCTCTGGGAGCATTGCTGTCGTGCTGGAGCTCTGCCTGTCACTGTGCAGGAGACCCTCATTGACCCAAGTAAGAACTAGAACAAAGCTGCTATCAGAAAAGTGCAGGGTTAGGAGCTGGCTTGTTTCTCTGCCTGAGCAAGGTGGTCTGTAAGCATAACTTGAACCTATGATAGACTGGACAGCTCTAAATTAACTCATTTCTGTCAGCAATGTACTGAGGGTACCTACAGATGTATTTTAGAAATCTGAGAAAAGAAGGAAAAAAAGAGCTTAAGAAAAAATTAAGTACTATGTGGACATGGCTGCACTAATGTGTTGCTGCTGTGGTAACTGGAAGGCAGACAAAGCTGTATTTCAGTGAACATTGTTGCATGTCCAGCTGGTCCTTGTCTACAGAAATCTTACCTGAAGTTGCCTCAAGCTTGCCTCCTGTAACCTTGGCACTCTCCTTCCTTAGCCTAGGTACCAGCCTAGCGTCCCTTATTGCTCACCCCACTGCCCTTCTCTGCACCTCTTCTGACATCTAGTTCCTTTGTGGCATCCATTTCTGGAGGTGCTCAGTTCACAAAGCTTTTGCTTTAGGTAGTAACGATGCTGTTTCCAGATTACCCATAAAATCAGTGATTGCATTTTTTTTTTCTTTTCCTCCAAGACTAAACATGTTCTCAGCAAAATGATATGTTCTTGTTGTTGCTCTAGCATTGTGCTGCAACGAGGATTTGGACCTTTTGATCTGTGTATTGGCGGCAGGTAGCTTTGGCAAGTTTCTTATCTGCCCTGGTGCCGCTCCCCAGTCAGACAAGATTGTTCATTTCAAGGGGGTTCAAATCAGTGATGCATGGTCTTTGGTTTCCTGCCTTCTCTCCCACTAACGCTGCAAAAAAGGCTCTCGTGGTGTAATGTGGAATTTGCCTGGGTGGGAGAGCCATGGTAGATGCATTTTTCTTAGCGCTGACATTCAAAGCTTGGTTATTCCTGCGAGAGGTTTGCTGCTGAGTGCATCCCTGAGCATTAACCCCGATGCTCTCTCAAATATTTACCCGTACCCGAGAGATCTGACCAGAACATGTGTTGCTTATTGATGGCTGTGTTGGCCAACTTACCTTCCACACCCCAATGATTTCCAGGTTCAAAGCCTGGGCCACTAGAGGCTGAACTAAATTCTGGGGGATGGGGACTATGACAGCTACTGGTTTCTGTGCAGTGGGCTTGAGATGAGAGCTGTGTGGCATATAGGGGTCTTTTCTATAACAGTATTCTTACTCAGTCTGAATAAGGGGATGTGCTCTAATGAAGAGAGTATCTTGCCTTGACTTTAATCCTCTCCAAAGTCCTTATTCAGCTGCTACCTTAGATAATGAAGTGAAGGTTGCATTTTACAAATGACCTTCTTGTGGTTTTGAGTGAGAGGCGAGCAGGTAAGGATTAGCAGTCAGGTCTAGGTGATTTTTTTCTTTTTTTCCTCCAGTACCGGTGGCAGTTCCATAAAATCATAATTACATTAAAAGGTTCAGGCATTTTATGTGCATTGCGTGCTCCGTGGCTCCTAAAGGGAGAATGCACCAGGAGGGAGAATGAAACAGCTCATATTTTCTAGTTATGCCAAGTGCTTGTCCCGACAAATTTCCTGACTGCCGCTCCTGTTAGTGGAGCCCGAGGCTGGAGCAGGGTGCATGACGAGGTGCACCATTTCCAAACTTCAGTACAGATGATTGTTTCCTCCTGTCTGCCTTGCCAAGGTTGTCACACTTCTTTCAAACTGTGGTTGTTACTGTGGTAATTAAAGTGCTCTGTGAGTGCTTCATAATGGCTCCCCCATCGCAGCCTGGGAACTGCGGGCGGTTTGTCAGCTGGAGGACAGCGTGTGCTGGAAGGAGAGTTACGCTGAACTAAAGGCTCATTTTAAAATAACACTTGCTGTGGCCATTGCTCGTATTCTGGCTCAGCTGACAGCCTCCTGGCACCCCTGTGTCTGCCTCTTCCACTCCTGGCTTTCCCAGCCTGGTCGAGGAGAGGACAGTGGAAGTAGTTTTAAAGGCAGGGTGTTAGGGAGGTGCCAGCAGCAGTGGGCAGCCTGACTGCGGCTGCAGACTGACAAGGTGAAGCCAGTGGGCTTGATAATAGTGCGGATGGGCCTGAGGGTTCACTTTAGTTGGTTTCTACCCCCTGAACTCCTTACAGATACACATAACTGAGCAGGTAAATAGTTTCTCTCCATTTTAACTACTCACGGTAATTCTTGAGTGCAGTAGCTGCCTCAGGTCCAGAAAAATTAATGCAATGCCGTCTGCCACACAGGCATTTCTGAACATGTGCAATTTATCTGGCAGAGTTAAATGGATCTGGACAAATAGTGAAAACAATTATTTGTGAATATTTTATTAGAAAATATCAAAAATTCATCAAATAAATTATTCAGCTTCCATATGACTAGTGCTGCCAATGATAGGGAGGAGCATCACACACTGAAAGAGGCTGCTTGGTGGGGGAGGCTTTGAGTGCTGCTGGCAGTGGGTGGCACAGTGCTCTGCAGCCTTGCTCAGGAATGCTGGTGTCCATCCCAGCTGGGGTCAGCACTTGAGCCATGCTGGGGCAGAATGGGTTGCTGGCTCAAGGGCTAAATTGGAGACAGACCCCAGCAGTGCTGCAGGAGAGGTATATCAGTGCCCTGGCCAAACCTGCTAATGTGCAGTCAAACTCAGCAGTATTTCACAAACAAGACTTACAGTCTCCTCCTTCACAGATTTCTCCTGGTTTTTTTTGTTTTAGGTGAGAGTCTATGACCTCCTGCAGTACGAGCATGGGCCGGATGATGTTCTGATCCTAGCTACTGATGGACTCTGGGATGTGCTGTTAAATGAAGAAGTGGCAGAAGCTGTCACTAACTTTCTACCAAACTGTGACCCTGATGATCCCCACAGGTTTGTGCTCATCCCTGATTTTCTATCTCCTCTGCAGAAGAGTGCTTTCTGGTAGCGTATTTTTGTAGAAAGTATGATATAAGTAACATTCAGTAAATACACAACACTTAGAAGAAGACATTTTTATAAGCTAGATGGAGCCTCTCCAGCAAATGTAGAGGTTTGGGGGTGGTGTCGGGTCTGTTATAACTCAGAATTGCCTACCTTCAAAGGAAAAGTTGTGGGATCACAGCATCTTGGCGTGGGATCCATTTTGTTTGCTATACGAGGTCCTGTGGAAACTGTAGGAGGCTGAGATCTTAGCCACAGGTCTCTGTCTCCAGTAATCACAGGTTTTCACTTAACTCTCCTCTGGATAGTCCCTTAACACCAAAGATAGTTTCTCACTAGGACATCGTAAACATATATCTCCCTCTCTCTCACTGTATGTATGTATAAATACTGCCCAGCGTGGTTCCTGCTCATTCTTGGTCATGTTGTGGCCTTTAAACCCACCTTCAGTAGGGGATGGATGCTCAGTGCTACCAGCTGCAGGACAGATGTGGTGGCAAAACAGGTGGAAGCAGGTGGAAAGTCTGACTATTTTGTTTAGTAGGATTCTGTTTCATTTCACGATTTTAACCTACCTCATCCTCTTCCATTTTCCTGTATTTATTACCTCTTACTTGATCAGTTTCTCTCTTTAAACTATGACATCAAGCAAACAAACAAGTTCCTAAACCACTAGCTAGAGCACTGTCCGCTGTGAGTCCATCAGTCTGTCTGCTGCTGACTTCAGTGTCACCGTGAATTAAAACATTACACTAGAGATCAGAATTCTCTTGCTTGTAAAAAGGAGGATTGTGAAAGTGGGAAGAGCTTTATCCTTCCTTAGGGACTGTTCAGGAAGGGAAGTGTTTGTTGCTCCTGAATTCAGGCCTGGCCATCACTGTCTTCTGCCCTCACCCTGAGAGTGGGAAAAAGCTTTTTATGCATCCCCAGTTGGTCTGCAGAAAGCAGAGCTTCAGAAATAAGCTCTGGGGTATCTCAACAGCCAAGTGAAAATATGCAGGATGGTGCGAGAGCTCAAGTTACAGTTGTTTAGATGTGGCAGCTCTCGAGGACGTGGGGAAACCCACCACAAAATCCTCGGTGTTTCTCATGTTTCCAAGTGGTCATTTTCATGGAGTCAGCCATCAGCAGACAAGGAAGTTAACTGGGACACCCTGACAGCCACTTGACTGGTAGTGTGAGAGCAGCTCCAAAGTAACTTGCAACCAGTATTTTCTTGCCCCGACACTTACAAACATGGAATGCAAAACAATGTTCTGCTGCAAGCACTCAGTCTTCAGGTGAATGGATGATTAACGTGAAGCTGCAACTGCAATATTTTGACCTTCCCTGCCTCCTTGTGCTGAAGAGGAGATGTGATATGAATGACAGCCAAGGCTGTCTCTACTTCAGCAAGACATGGAAGTGTCTCTGCCCTCTCTCTGGGACATCAGACAGGATTGGCAAGGGGTACTTCCAGGGCATCGAGCACTGTGCTGTGCAGATATGCCGTTAATTTAAGGTAGGAGGAGATGGTCCACCCAGTCTACTTTTGGTTATTCCACAGCACCGTTCAGAGGTGCTTGGGAGCTTTTGCTCTCATTTCTGCCCCCACCCGCCCCAAGTCTCCTCTTGTAAGGGCACCTGGTAAAATGTAATACCTCTGCCCTTCTCTGTCTCCATTCTCAACTAATAATTGGGAAAGGTTGGCTCTTCTTACTGCCCTCGCTGTCCTGTCTGTTGTGAATATGGGCTGGGTGTATTGTGTCTTTTTCCTTTTGGTCTTTCCCAAGCTGGTGGTGGCCACTACGTTTGCTGCAGTAGGAACAGGAATTCTTTGTTTAATCTTTTTGACTTGTTAGGTGAGTAGTTTTTCATCCATTATAAAACACTCATAGAAATTGGAGACATTAAAGAGAAAAAAAAGGAGATTTGCTTTGTTTCATTTAGATTTGTTTGTGCTGGTTTAGCCCAAGTAATTGTGAGGGATCAGTCCCTGTTCGTGCCAGTGGGAGTACAACACACTCCAGAACTGAGCCTGCTGTAGTATGAGTTAGAACAAACACATTTATTAGTGTTTGACCTACTGGTCTATGAATGGACATCTGAATTGAAAATTAATTTGTTCTTTTAAGTAACTTTGTGCCAGGTCATTTAGAGGCTTACGAATAGTGGTGGCAAGACATTACTCATGCCAGCTTGCAAAAGGTAATTAGAGCAGTCCCTCATATAGTTTACGATGATATTTATGAAAATTACCTTTGTGGAATTGCTCTTGCTGCCTGGTTGTAAAGAATGTGTAAAGGATCTAAAGTAGCGTGTGAGAGGTTTTCCGTAATTACTTCACAGTGGTCCAAATGAGGTATAAGTCATGAATTTACAGTAGCATAGCAGCTCAGGCTGTGGAGCTGCGTTCATTCACTAGCGAATGACGGGAAAATCTTGTTTGCAGTATTATCAGTGTTATGTTTAAAGGAAATGTTATCCCAGAAAATGTCTGGTTCTGTGATGGGTGTAGTGACATAGTCTGTGGTGAGGTGATCAGCTGGAAATGTAAAATCTCTAGGGATGTAGAAAACTTGTCAGACTGTAAGAGACTTGCCCCCTGGGTTTGATAATGCTGTGATCTTTTGGAGAACCTACCTGTGGAGCAGACCCTGGATCTGCCTGACCCAGTAGCCTACTTATTCCCTGACAGCAGCATATTTAAAGAAAGAAAAAAAAAAAAAGCTGGAGAGGAAGATTTTAGAGCTGCAGAGTACTTATCTGTTATGTAATTAGCTCTTTGTGGGAGCAATATTCCTCCCATTTGAAACAGAAGTCATTGTAAAGTCTGATGGGTAAGAGCTTGCAGACCTCAGCAGTGCTCTTGGGACTCTCTCCTGCTGATATTTACTGTCAGAACTGTGAGTGTTTGTTACCCACCAGAAAACATCTTTGCATCCTGTCAAACATCGCATTGCCTGGGCATCTCCAAGTGCAGGGAGAGCAAAGTCCTCGTGTCTGTCTTCACCCAGCCGTGCAGACGCTGCCTCAGGGGATTTGGGCAGCCAGTGATGGGCACAGATTTGATGAGAGAACAGTTCCTCTGTGAGGACTGTGATGGAGTGAAGAAGCTGGGGTGGAGCTGAATTTCTTAGCCGGCTCATTTCTTATGGGTATTGTGGCAGATGAGCATGAAGGGGACCCGAGTGAAGAACAGGTGGTAGTGACACACTGCTGCTTTCCATTCGTCATCTCTCTGAAGAGATATGAAGATAGGCCACTTTCTTCAGCTGCACTTATGCAGGTTTACTCCCTGACCTTGGGAATCCTTTACTTCTTGTCCTTCCTCCTGTCCTTTCTCATTCCCTCTCACTCTCTCTCTTTCACACTAGCTAGAGATTTAAGAGGATGCTTGGGAGTTGCTCCACCTCTGCTGGGTGTGAGAAGATAAGAAGCTGCTCAGACAGCAGTGCCTTTCCCCCACTGTCACCATTTCTTCTGCAGTACTTTCACTGATCAATACTGAAAGCTTCAGCAGAAGAAAAAAACCCCATATATATTTATTCTTAAAACACAAAAGTTGTATTCCAGCGAGGCTGTTCGTTAGGAGGAAGTGGATACTTTAAAACTACTTCAGCAGTTCTCTAATGCTGTCTCGACAGCTGAATTCCAACTTCACAGCGCTGAAGAATAAAACACTCGGTAATGGACTGGTGCTGCTATTCATCTCCAGGTACAAGAGACTCACCCTATCTCCTCTGGTGCCAAGTTGAACAGCATCGCTTCAATTCAGCTCTACACAAGGAGAGGAATATGTTACCTCAGTGCTGCCTTCACCTGTTCCTTTGCTTTGATGTGCTGGTTTTCTCGTGTATTTCACAGTCTGTCTACCAGGGAATTTCTGGTTTATTAGAATTTCTTTTTTTTATCTTGCCCTCTCCAAACATTAAGCAGCAAAATCTTTACACAGTCAAGAGCAATACTCATTCCTTTGTACTCTTTAGATGTGGGGAGCACATGTTAATTAGAAAAAGGAGGGAGGCTAAGTTTTCTTGCAGAATGATGGATGTTTTCTTCTCTTAAATTCTGACAATAGCTGAGAAATCCTTGGAAAAGATGTTCTAGCCAAAATTCACTTAGCATCAGACATGCTGTGAATAAATATCCCAGTTTCTCGCTTGCCACGTGGAGTCCTTTTGTTCCTTAGCCCTGCATATGATTTGGGCATTTGGGAACTGGGGAATGCAAGTATGTATGTTTGGGTTTTTTCCCCTTAGAAAATACAATTTCATGTTGCATTAAGACAGTACAGGCAACGCTTCTTTTTACATTCTGCCATTATAGCTCGAGGTTGTTGGTACAGACTTATCTCGGAACATGCAGGCGGTGTGCACGTGTGTGCGCGAGCATGTGTGTTAGAGTTTATGCCTTGAGCCCTTCTCTTACTGCTAAAAGTAAATCTTTTGTCAAAACTGGCGAGGGCTGTAAATTTTATTAGGAGCAGGGAGTACATTGCTTCTGTACAATATTACTTGGATTTAACATCAGACCTTTTGAATAGTCAAATGTTGGTTCATTTGCACTGAAGAAATCTTTCCAGTAGAGCAAATAAATCTATTCCTGGTTCAAAGGAATCATTTGAATTTAAGGCACCAAAACTGTAGAAACAGAACATAATTGGGTTTTTTTCCTTATTTTATTCCCAGAGAGTGAATAAAGTCTCTACTGGTAGAAATTACCATTTAATAATACATTCTCTGGTAAAAATTCCTGGGGTTAGAACAGTCCTGGATACTCAATAAACTTCCCCTGCCCCGCTTCTGATCAGTGGAGATGCTGTTCTTCCCTATTCCTCAGATGGGATCTGGGCAGATCATTTCTGGCCAAGGATCCTCCCTAGAAAAGGGGTCTTGAAATGCAAACCCTTCTTGTCCTTCCTGGTTTTGGGAAACTACAGAGGTGTGCATTGCTACTGGTGGCCTGTGTGTTTGGCCTCATAGAGCCCTGCATCACCTTGCAGGTTGACACTTATGCTTTAAATAAAACACAGGCAGGCACAATATTGAGCTGCTTCTTTTTTTTTTTTTTTTTTTTTTTTTTTTCTTGTCAGTCTTTTAACTGTTCCATTAATTTTTAACTATCAAATCATAGAAAAGCTTGCCTCCACCCGACCAAATTCAAAACATCTCAGCCAGGTGTTGGATTGATGAAGAAAAACATGTGACAGTAGCTGTTAACTCCTAATGAGATTTCTTTCAGAGGAAACTTCTGAGTACACAGGTGTGTTGATCCAGTAACAACAGGTAAAACGATAGGGGAGAGCATGTCAGAGCACGTGATAGAGCCCTGTCTCTGCACCACCTTTTGGACTCTGA